GAAAATGCCAAAGTACTAACATAGTTTTTGAAAGAAAGAATATGTGTTTTTCTCAATTTTATTTTTTTTAAATAGGAGAATGTCCAGTCAAGGGGAACTTGCCATTAATTTTATCCGCTCCTTATTTCCATGTGTGTACCTTTAAAAAATAAGACTACCTGGATCATGGTTTGACTGCAAATCCCGAGAACAATTATGGAAATGATCTTTAATATAATAATATATTTTACTGAGTGTCTCGGCTTTTTCATCCCAACAACTGAAACAGAGACAATTCTTTGCATGTTGAAATGTGTAATTATCATGTATCCAAAAGGGAGGGTGTAATTTTCACATCTGATTACAAGGGAAGGGTGTAAGCGAAGCTGCCTTGGTAAACTTACACTTGTTTACAAAGAGCGATACCTTTGATATTAAAAACTCAAAACATGCACAACACTGAGAAAAATCAAGATTAGCAGGCACAAAACAACAAAAATGTAAGCACTTTTCTTGGCCCTGCTACAACAATAAAGTCAGTTCTTCTGAACTTGTGTTAGTCGACTTATTTCTGATGATTTTAAGACTCAAACACTATTTTGCAGGCTGGTTTGTGACTGTACCATTGAAAGTTAGGAAGCTCAAGCACTGGATTCAACTTAAAAGGAAACTTCAAATTCTCATTATGCCCATAAACCAACTTGGTCAGTTTAAACTAGAGAATGATTTTCATCTCAACAGAACACACTTCCCTAAATACAATAAGTGTTTTCGAGACATGCATTTGTAATGTTTTTTAACTTCTGATTTATTTTCGATAACATCAACTTCTGCTCATGCGAACTTACATTTTGGACATGTAGGAAGGGTTAATATGAAGTGGCAGCTATCACTTAGCAAGAAAATTAAAGACAGAGACAAGATCTCTTAACAGGTAGGAAAAGGAAACTGCCTTAACAGCCAAACACATATGAGGAACAATTTTGTATGACATGTAATCATGATTGGTAAGTAATTGGGGCAGATATCTGAAAAGCTTAAAAAGATTGACGCTGAATATTAAACATACTTAATATTCCTGTTGGATCTCAAAAGCAGGCAAGAAAGGGAAATAAAGAGAAGGAACCACAAGGAAGTTTAAGAAATCAATTTAGGAATAATACAAACTTTTTCATGTTAAAAGGAACCCATTAAAATGAACTTAGTTATCTTTTTAGCTTTACAATTACATAGAAAGCAATGACTTCGATAGAATGCTATTAAGTTATATTAGGTTTTCAAATGCAATACTAATGGCAAGGCTGATATTTGGTATACTTTAGAAATTAGTGTTTTGGGTTTTGGTGTGTTTTTCCTCCTGGTAATTTGCCCAAACAAACTTAACAAACAAGAAGTTTGAGAAAGGATACAAGCTACCAAAAGATTAAGATTTAAGAATAATTACAATTAAATAAGAAACTTATTCTGTTAAAAAAAGAACTAGGCCCTGGCCAGTATGGCTCAGTTGTTTGGAGCATCGTATGGTACACCAAAAGGTGGTGGGTTTGATTCCCAGTCAGGGCACATACTCAGGCTGCGGGTCAATCCCAGGTCAGGGTGTGTGTGTTTGAGGCAACCAATCGATGTTTCTCTCTCACATCGATATTTTTCTTTCTCTCTCCCTTCCTCTCTCTCTTAAATCAATTTTTTTTAAAAAAGAAAAGAAAGAACTAGGTTCCTCATTCCTCAATTGATGTAGCCTAAAGCATTTTGGATGATAGAGCTTAACTTTTATAAGATCTTAGCTGTTTTCCTTTTATATAGGATTTCACTGAGTCTTACCTTCTGCTTCCCACCATTAAAGCAAAAAACAAAACACTTGACATGAATCTCCTTCCTCCTCTACTTCAGGGGGCGGGCCTGCACCCTTGCCTGGATGGATGGGTGGGAGATGACGTGGGTGGAGAGGAGGTTGGGAGGAGAACTGCTGTTTCTAGGTAGTTTAGAGGCTTGCCCACCACAGCACACCCGTGTCCACAGCATACCAATCAATGCTCAGTGCAGAGCACATTTTTCACTGTGTTGTTAGAGTACATTTGCTTATATTTTGCACAATTTTAATTTAACCATATTGATCAAACTGAACACTCAATAAGACCCTAGGCACCTTAGGCTTATTAAAATTAGTCAACATGAAGCAAGTAAGCAAGGGCATAATGGAAACTGTTTGGAGATTTAAATACAGTGGAACCCACTTAAATAAATACCTGTTAATGAAATAAATCTATTAAATGAATTTATTTTCTCTGGACCAAATCAAAATACATAGAGTAATCCTCAAGGGGGCCTTTATATAAATACTGCTTAAATGAATAAGCATCTTAAATGGACATGCTTCTCCAGAAAGGCAAACAGTATTTTCATGTTCTCTAAGGTTAATTAAAGCAAAAAGTCCATGTTGACTTTTTTGGATGTATTGTCATCATTTGGAATTAAGCAGGAAAAAGTTGCTTAGATAACAATATTTAAATAATGTAAACATTTTTCTTAAGGGTAATTGCCTGTGTGTGTGTGCGTGTGTGTGATGGGCACTAGGCTCAGGGGGCACAAACCCTTGAAACAACATATGGCAAGTTAAAACAGAAAAGTATTTTAAATTTTCATTTAAAACCCTATCTCATAGAGAAATGGACTAGCTACTTTCATTTGCCTCTTTGGAAAGTTCTATTATTTCTCCAACATGGCTGAAAGGCCCGATTACAAGAATCAGCTCCCTGGACCATGTGCCTTGTTGGCACTTTCAGGGTGCTCAAAATAATGTTTTTTAAAAGACACAAATACTTTTTTGTGTGGTTAAAAACACATAACACGCCATGTACCCTATTAACAAATGTTCCCGTGAAGCATCGTTCCTATGTGTGCATTGTGCAGCCAACCCTAGAACTCACAAATGCTCTTTCCCATAAAGTGTAGGTTGGACCACATCTTTAACTGATCAGGTCTGGCCTTTTCACAGAGGGGTTGACCTACGGTGGTGCGCTATTATAATAAAAGTAAAAATGCAACCCACATTGAGGTCTTAAAGTAATAATACCTTTTAAAACGCAGTGGGCACACAATCCACAGAGATGTTCCTCGGGCCCCCTGTATCTCGCCTTGCCTTTAGAGGGCCTTGTGCATTCATTTTTCCCCTGGCCTAATAAAAGATATTAGCTCTTTTCCCTAAGCAAAAACACTCCTATCATGAATCAGGCCAACTAGTGGGAGACTGCTGGCCAGGTTTCACCCCACTAAAATTCTAATCTATACTTTGTCTTTGAGAATTAAAGAGAAAATGCGTATCAGCAGAATCTCCTCTCCACTTTATTTCATTTATAAATTACGAGAATGATGCTATTATATATTATTAATTTCTGCTGTTCTCCAACTCTGCTGCGGCAGTGAGCTGCGGATGTTGGAACGGTGTAATTATGTTCTAGTAGGGTAGCCATCCGTTTCCTTTCAAAAATTTACAGGATTCTTAATCACGCTGCTCATTTGGGTGCGCAGCAGCGAGGATGGCGAAACACAAACAGGGCACGTTCGTTTACATAGGAACACCTGCTTAGCATGATAGCAGATGTCAGTCAGTACGCAGAACACAAAAGGGGGGAAAAATACCAACAACCGCAACCTCGCACCATTTTGATTTGGTGCGGGGAAATCTTTGCAGGGGTGAGGGCGACAGTGGACATTCCTGCTGAAACAGCAGCAAAGTCTCTGAAATTCCCAAGTGTTGTTTGTGGTTAGCGTGCTGTCAGAGAGAAAGGGCGTTGTGCTCCTGTGTTCTGGTATTGACTCAGACTCTCTTTATTATTGGGAGGATTTACTAAAACTACCCTGCCTCAGTTTCCTGATCAGTAAGGGTTGGAGAGTCTAAATAAAAACCCAGTTCCCCAAAGCTGATCGTTGTTGGAGGTGATGTTATAATAACAGCATGGCTCTCACCAGGCCTAGTGCAGATCCCACTGCTGTCACTTAACGTTTGTGTGACATCAGTCATGTGGTTTAACCTCGCGAAGTCACAGCTTTCCGATTTGTAAAGTCCACTGAGAAAATTAAATGAGCTAATATATACCAAGTGCCTGCCACACAGTGAGAATACATTAAATGGTGGATATATTATTGTTGTTGTTCTTACGATCATCAGTATTTTATTTTGATCTTTGCAAAACCTTTCCTACTCAACATGTTATTTATTAAAGGTCTGGAAATGACAACCAACCGAAATCTCTTGCAGAGATCATCATAAATGTGATATTTTTGATGTGTGAAGTTCTGCGAGATTATTATAATGACACCTATTACTGTTATTTTATAGTTAGAGAGCCTGTCATCGTTTCCACTATATTTTCTGGGATTTATATCTGAACCATAAAAAGGGTTTTCTGGGCTGTACCCTGCCTGAAAAAGAGTCTCCAAGAAAGTGAAGTGCTTTCTAGCTCTCTGACACAATAAAATGAGGCCATGGAAAGGAAAAAATTAGAAGTTCATCGTCTTCACAGGCCCACCCCACCCCACCCTTCCAACGTTTGCACCCTTATTTTAAGGCCTTTGCAGACTATTCTGGTCTTTTCCCTTCTCGCCCTTTCCTCAAAATGGTTAAAATTCAAAATGGAAAACAGCTCTCACACATGGGCAATGACTAATTTTCCGAAGGAATTTTAGTATTCGGAACGTGTCTGCCTGGGCAGGACTGTGGGCTAAAGGCTCCCCGAGTGTGCATTGACTTGATACCCAATAATGGCAGCTAAGGAGCCGTTATGTGGTGCCGTGTCAATGATCCGTGCACTGAGGGCTCCCCGAGTACGCATTGACACGACAGACCGGAACGGCTCCGAAGAAGCCGTTATGGTCCATCATGCCAATGATGTGCGGATATTGGCAGGGCCTCTGGCCCTTCCATGGAAATGATGGAGTCTCGGAAGGAACCGGTGTGGGCGCCATGTGGGCGCCATCAGTGAGCTAACCACAGCGCCATTTCCCCGTCTCCTTGGGTTTACTTCCAAAGAGTCAGGTCGGAAAAGTTGTCCAGTAACTTCAGGGGTCCCACCTTCCATGACCAGGACATAAGCAAGCATGAACGATATTCTTGCCCTTTAGTCTTTTGTTTCTTCTGAAACTGATACTGTTGATATTAAAAAGGAGAGGCAAGAATTAAGGTTATTTTTTTCACATTTTTAAAAAAATTTTGATGATAAATATCTCGTCTGCTTTATGAATTTCATGTTATACACGTGTGTGGTACTGGGGAGACTCTCTGTTGTGCTGGTGATTTTATGAGATTGAAACATTTAATCCATGCAAAGAAAAATACCTTTTTATATGTCCTCGGCAGTGGAATAGGTACTCAGAACTCAGCATATAGGAAATGGTTCAAAAAACCTTGGGAAGAGAAGTGCAAGTTCAAGAATAAAGTTTGGATTCACACATGCTTTACCAACTTCAGGCAGTAATTAATTCACTTATGGTATTTACATGCCCCTCTTCAGAGACTTATGGAGAACATGGGAATTTTAAATTCACAATTCAGTGCAAAATTTAAAATGATCTTCATTAGAATTTGAAGCTATACTCTCAACTGCTTTATATACTACCAACAGGGAGCCTCATTATGTAGTACTATATTTGGACTACCTTCTTTACATTCTGTGGCTGTGGATTTTGAATGTATTTCTGGTATGCTGAAGCAGAATCAAACAAAGTGCTTTAATCTGCTCTATTAACTAACCAACCCACATAGTTGCGTGGCAAACAAATAAAGTCAAGAGGCTGAATGCATCTTCTTTTCTGATATCTTCAAAGGATCACGGAAGAAGAGAGATCTGAGACACCCAAGCACAGAATGGTGGTGAAGCCTTACAGAAATACCGAATGGTTCACTAAAAAGGATGGCGGGAACAAAGAAGCAGTCAGATCAGGCAGAAAATAGTCGTCGTGATTCCAGATACTTCTGCATGCTCATTTCCTTGAGCAAAAAAATAAAAATAAAAATAAATATGAGAGTTCCAACTCTCATAAGGAACTTTGGAACTGGGGTAAGAAAGATCCACCATGGGTGTGGAGTTAGTGTTGATTGACAGGAGGAGCAAAGGGGGAAGGCCCTATGTGCCAACCCAAAGTAAATACGCAGTAAATGTTGAAGAGTAGGCAACATTAAATACCTACTATGTGCTGGGGACTTTACCTATTTCCAGCATGTCTTCACAATGACCCTGTTACACAGGCCTCAGGAGAAATGGAGACCCAGTTGGGCTGAGCAACTTGTTCCTGTTCCCATGGCTGGTTTGAAGTAGAAACCAGAGGTGAGTTCAGATACCCAAAGCCTAGGCTCTCTTGAGCACCCACACTGCCTCTCTGCCTGCCTCCCTGACTCACAGGTCTTACAGATATCATTGAGAAAGGTGGAAAGCCAGTTGATTTGAATACAACTGAAAAACGAAAGAAATAAAAAAAATCCCAAGTATTCAAAATGGCATAGCTGTCCCTAAGTGGAGTTTAAGATATTGTTCATAGGGTAGTAGGGGGCCTAACATAAGTTATCAAAAGCTTTTTCCTAGACATCATATGCACTACATCTTTAATGTACCTGCCCTATTCATTTTCAGAAGACAGTTGAGTAGAATGGATTTGTCTTCCTATTAAGTATAGTCTCGCTTTAACAAAATGCACTGCGCTAGTCACTGGTGACAAGGGGATGGACAAGACTGTCCTCAAGGCATTTACATGTGTGAGAAGACAAATAGGAACCAGATATTGTAAGTGCTGTGATAAAGGTCAGCCCAGAATACAGGGGGATTTTGTTAGAGGGCATTGCTCCTATAAGGAAAAGTACCACGTCCACTTCCTGGAAAGGCAGAGGTATGAGACCATGCCAAGCACCTTGACTATTTCTTTTCCTTTTTCGTTTTTTAAAACTCCTAAAGAATTGAAAAGGAATGAATACCTCAGCTGATGGTCATTGTTTCCTCTTCTTAAGAGGGTTGCAGCATGGCCCAGAGACTGAAGTAGCTCTATCCTAGAATTCCTGGTAGCCTGATTAGACTCGCCAGGAAATAGTAATAATCAGAATTTATTGAGTATAGCTCCAGATACTGCCCTTAGAATTTTGTTCAACACTCCCAATCCTCCTGTAGTAAGCATTGGTCCCTATTTTCAGCATTATGGACTGAAGCTCAGAGAGGCTAAGAAACATTCAGGGCCACCGGGAAACTAAGTGGCAGAATCAGAATTCGGACACAGATTTGTTTGTGTCTGGATGCTGTGTGTGTGTGTGTGTGTGTGTGTGTGTGTGTGTGTGTGTGATTTTTTCCTCATGATACTGAATTCCTCACTCACCGGGGAGAGAGGAAGAGGAAGACCGGGCTCCATTCATTTTAAGTGAATGGATCTAGGGATGTTCTTGGAACAGGAGTCTGGGGAGTGAAGAAGTGGACATGAAATAGCAGCTCGCCTTGGAGGTATTCTCCTACAGCACACAGTAGGTTGCGTGAAAGGAGGTACCATTTCATCTACAAGTGGACCAGTTAATAGCTCCCAAATTTCATCCTGAGTTGTGTAAGCTCTTTGGGACCTTTAAAAAAATCTTGACTTCACATCTCACGAACGTGTGTTATGGCTCTTGTCCAAATCCTGTTATCTATGAACTTAATTTAGAATAACTTGGTCTTTTTGAATTGTCAAAAACTCTAATAAAACAGGACTATTTCACACTTGCACAGACAGAATTCTGTGGGACATCCGAAGCTTAGCTCTTAAATGATGTCCTTAGATCAGTGAAGAGGTAAAATCTAAACTTTGTTGAAAAGCACAGTGCAGATATGAATTCTAATGAATCCGTGACTCTATGCAGCCTGTGTGAGAGCTACTATGCTGCTTATTACCTATATCTATTAATAGGCATTAATTGTAATGATTGTCAGACATTTTAACCAAATAGTTAGGTTAAAAACTCAGAAATTACTCAATTATTGTTCTTTTTTGACAATGTAAATTAATTTCTGAAAAGGCAGACATTTCTGAGTTCATTTCCTTAAAGTCCAAGCCCTCTAAGAAAGGTAAACAATGTGGGAATACGCAGCTGCATTTTTTTTTAAGGCTACTGTTCCTTTAATGCCCAGCTGGTTCTGAGATGTAATAAAATTGACATATTGATTCCTTTGAATTTACAAATGCCTGTTTCATAAACTCCATCTCCAAAGCCTAGGCATCTTTAGAGCACTGTCATTTTTTTTCTCCAAATGGATCAATTATGTGCCCACGTAATCCTGTTACCTGTGAAATCCATGCATACTTCTCCCATTTGCTGCAGCTCCCAGGCGGACAAACTTGCATTATGTACGCATAAACAAACAGCGCATTTTCCTGATATTAGAGATTGTTTTCAAAGTGAAAGGCAATCTCTTGGGTCCTTTACTCAAAAAGAAAAAAAAAGGGGGGGGAGAGAAAGACAGAGGGAAAGAAAAACTGCCTGTTCCTTCAAGCAACCTCAGTGTATGTGCACACACAAACACATGTGTATATATAAATGTGATATGTATGTGTTTATGTTTACTATTTACAGTTGCTAACAATTCATTTAAATCACATGGTTTTGCTATGTTCAGTCCTTTAACTCATCCAAGGAAGCAAGTTCCTTCATTTCAGTTAAACTAGTTCATGAGGGTTTATCACGTTTTTTTTAAGGCCGTCTGTGCTCCTTTGTTGATAATTAGGTATTTAAGGGCAAATCATCCCCTAGATACCTTAAAAGAACTGAGAAACGAAAACCCAGGGCGAATTGGGTTATAAAGTTTGCAGGGGTTTTATAGAAAGAAAGTCCTCCGTATTTTGCATTGTAGCACTTGACAGTCCCCGGTTCTGCATCTTCTTTAAACACACACAGAGTCCTCTATTGAAACAGCCGCAGAAAACACAAAGATTCTGCTTCTACTACATTGGGAGAGAAACGCCTCAGTGAACCAGAAGGTCTTGCTCATGTCTTAAATCTGTACCAGCAAATTGTCTTCCCACACAGGCATATGTACATGTTCACGTGTGGACACCCTCACCAGTACAAAATGCACAGAGGAGGCTCATGTGCGAACGCACCCACAGCTGGGCCTATGGCATCCCTGCAAATAGCCCACAAGCAAACGTGCTTTTGTCTATGTGTGAACTCCGTGTGAGCAAAGTACTGTGCATGTTCTGCACAGAGATATGAATTCCTGCTTCATTCTTTCAGCCTGTGCTGTATCTGATTTTCCTCACTTCACTGGGCACCCAGCAGTCTGGCTACACTGCACTTGCTCTCTACAATTTGTCTCTAAGAGATTCCCCAAATCACAAAACATCTTGTCTGCTGCCCAACGTGCTCCCCACATGCAGAAAAGATGGTCTAAAAAATTGGGTTGTGCTGGGAGCCCTGTGGCCTGGCCCACTGCTGCCATTGTGCGGGGTGGTTTTGAAGATAAATGGCTGCATGTTAACCAGATTTGACATGCTGTACAAAGGCAGGCACCTTTGGTCCTAGGACACAGCCAAACAGAAAACACAACAAGCAAGCCTGGCAAAAATGTCCGACATGAATAAAAGCACAACAATTTGTCACATAGTTGTTACAAAATGTTAGCAGCTTTAGGGCTTGCCATGGGATGGCAGAGATAAGGCAGTGTGGAGAATTCGCAAGTTGGAGGATTGGTGAGTCTTAGGCGATGGAAGAGTTAATTCAGTAAAGGGGGAAAATAGTCATCGCAAAGGGATTATTTTCATTTGCTTCCTCATAAGGCCCAAGAAGGCCTTACTGTCATGAAATAAATCAGCAAGGCCAGTGTTCCGGGTTTACTAAACTCCACTGTTTTGAAGGGCTGTCTGTTAACCATCTCTTTCCAAACTCCCAAAGAGCTACACATTCTAGTATCCATTTCTTGAGGATCAAGAATCGTTTTTCATTCTCTTTTTCAAACTGACACAGTAATGAATGAAATGAAGAATTTTAAGGATTAAAAAAAAAAAGCCTTATTCCCCACTTCATCTCACTACT